TCAGCAGGACTGTGCACATGAACAGGGGCAGGAGGATTGGGTCTGTTGTCTTCTACTCTGTTCTCTTTGATCCTGCAAGTATACTGTCTGCCAAGGTCGCATCAGGCTGCAAAGGCACTTATCGCAACTCTGTATGATCTGTGTCTGTCCTTTATTTATTCAAAATGCGTTTGCCTCTACAATTTAATCTGCTGTTCTCTCCCTCCCCTTCCTCTTGGTGAAGTCTAATTACAGTTTTATTCCAGGTCCATCTGGTTGCTAACGATGCTGGACATCACTGCTGAATTCATTCTAATATTTGTTGTGTATTTTCTAGGCTGGACGCTGAATAATAATATTCTCTGAATTTGCTTTGCCTCTATTTCCTTCCTCCCTGTTGTAGCTAATTGCGTAGTAATGTGTAGCCATGGGATGATTACTCCTCCCAGTGCAGATCTGCTAAAAGTTGCCTATTTCAGGCTGCAGAATAAGGGGTTTTTTTTCTGGTTTTGAGGAGAAGATTTCAAAGTCCACTCTACCAGCTCCCTTCACTGGTGTGGAACGAGTTGGGCAGTGGCTTTCTCTGGTTATTTCCCCCCCGCCCCCTGCCCCAAGCATAATGCAGTTTATAACTGTGAGTCTCAAAGCATCCTGGTGGCAGTGTTTCAGCATTTAGAAAGACAATTTTGCCAGTGACTGCTCCATGTGATGGTTGAACACACAGTAACTTCAGGTTCCCAAGCCTGGCTTGTGCAGTGCCAGTGCTAGGAATTTTTTTTTTTTCTTCTTTTCTCTTTTGCTTTCTGCAACACTGCCTGGGAACACAGACTCACACGTTACCCATGACCTGACTCCCTGGCTAAGAATAGCAATCGCAGTGCAACTTGGGTTCAGTCTCACTGGACACATACTGCAGCTGGGAAACAGGAAGGTCCAATTAGCCCATGCTCACAAAACCACACACATAAAAGGAGTACGGAGGATTTTGTATGTTCACCTCTTTTTAAGACTGCAGAATAAGGGGAAGAGGTTGGCACAGGTGTTCAGTGAGCCAAGATAAATTTTCTTTGCTCATGACACTGATTTGTACAGGAAGTTTACATACAGAAGTTCATCTTCTGGGCTGAACAGAACCTTTTCCAAAAGGGTCGTGTATCCTTATGGCCTGTCCAGCCAAAAATCATGCAGGATGGGACAGTAAGCAGTGCTGATTAGCATCTCCTGAGCTCTGCATAAGACATGTTTGAGATAGCCCCCAAAGACATTCAAGATAGCCCCCACAGACATTCTGCGCAGCAAAGTGAATGTATGAATTTAGCACACGCTAGCGGACCTGCAATAGCTTGTCCTGAACAGCTAATGTCACAGTGATGCTGTGGCACTATCTTTAGCATGAGTGAGCAACAGGTCTCACTCTAAGCACATGCTAAAGCCGACTTTGCTCTCGTTCTTACCCCATCTTGGTGGGATGCGCCAGCACATGCTACATTCACACCTTCATTTTTTGGTGCAGACATGCTTTCAGAGTAAAAAATACCGGTCCTGCTCTGTAATTTTAAGACAGGAGCTAAAGTATTAGTAATAGAAACTATTGGGCTAATGACTGTTGTAATACTCATTGTGGCTGGATAAAGATAAAGGTGACAACCAGTGAGGTTTAAATAGCACATTCCCAGCTTGACTGTTCCCTCTGCTCCATCGTGACGTGGCAGCCAGCTGTTCCCAGTGCCAGCACAGAGCATTACATCTGGAACATGAACTGGTGGATTGATATTCACATTGGCAGAAGGGGAGCCATTTTTTGAGAGAGCCGCATGACACCATTCCTGTACTCTTCCCCCAGCCAAATCTAAGCAAAATGGGGAAGGGTGCTGTGTTGCTAGCAGAGATGTCTGGAGGAGCTGGTCCTGCAAGCCCTACTCCTGTGAGCAGCCATGCTCAAAGCAATGTACATGGCCTCCCTTCGCCCCCCGTCCCAGAGTCGGAGGGGAGGGATGGCTGCCCTGGGGTCGCATTACCTGGATAGAGGCTGCTCACACAAGGCAGGGATCCCATCTACACTGGGCTGGGCTACAGCTTGAGACACAACAAATAGACTTAAGAGGAAACCCCTTGAGGTATCAAGGCAGTAATTCTAATGATAATTTTGAACTGTTTTTGTCTGTCTAACATTCCTTTTTAATCCCCATCCTGCCTGCCCCTTCCTTATGTAGGGTTACTTTAGTGATCCTTGGAATGTTTTTGACTTCCTCATCGTAATTGGCAGCATTATAGACGTCATTCTCAGTGAAACTAATGTGAGTATTACTCTACCCTCCCCAGGATACCACCACCTCCTCCTCCTCTGCTGTTCCCTCTCTTTCTCTCTTTCTTTCTCTCTCTTTTTTTATTTCTGGTTTTTTTCCCTCTAGTCATGCTTTTATTGAACTTGCCGTCGTCCTTCTCCTTCTCCCAGGGAAAAAAAAAGGAGGGGGGGAAAATGCCTCCTTCTTTTTCACTTGTCATAGCTCGCCCCAAGGCTGTGACTGGTGAAAGCGCACAGAGTTTGGGGTGTGTGTGCTTTTTTTCCCTCCAAAAGGTAGACATGCTTGAGTGTAACTTTTTGACTAACCAGGCTTTTGTTGATACCTTCCATCATGTGAAACGTTACAGAGGTTTGAGCAACCAATACTGTAGAGTGGTAAGAGACTATTTAATATACCCACGTAACCTCTTTCTTTTCTTATTTTTTTCTTCTTCTCTCCCTCTTTCATGCTTTTTTTTTGTTTTTTTATTTTATTTTATTTTATCTTACTTTTTACTTTTTTCCCCTCTTTTCTCCCTTTCCCTTTCTCTCTCCCTTCCCCCTCTCTCTCTCATTCTTTCTTTTTCTTCCTTTCTCTCTCTCTCTCTCTCTCTTTCCTTGGCTTCTCTGCCACATGCAGCACTATTTCTGTGATGCATGGAATACATTTGACGCCTTGATTGTTGTGGGTAGCATTGTTGATATAGCAATCACCGAGGTGAACGTAAGTAGCTGGCGTCTGTCCATGATCGTGCCTGCTCTAACATTCATTTGTCTTTCACGGGTTCTTTTTTTTTTCCCCTCCCCCTTCCTCCTTTATTTTGTTTTCAGAGTTTTTTTGTTTAGTTTTGAAGGTCTCTCTTTTTTGTTTGTTTGGTTTGTTTTCTTTTTATTCTGTTTTTATTTTTGGAACGACTTAAAGGACTTTTTGACTGTTGCATCATTTACTTCCCTTCATAATCCGCCTGGCATGAATTAAACTGTATAGCAGGAAAAGTGATGGGAAATGTGGAGTGCAAGTGAAAAAGCTATTTGTGCCATGGGAAGCTGCTAGAATAGTCCCAGGCCAGCACTTTGGTCCACCCAGTGTTATGCTTTGCTTCCCATGGCAGTTCAATACTCTCCACCCCACAGAGATCTAAAGGTCAGTTCTTTCGAGGTTGAACTGTGGGAACCAAACCAGGAATCCTCCCTGTGCCTCCTCACCTAGGCTTCCTCCAAAAGAAATAAAGACCAAATCATTTCCGTTTAGAGGAACCTGCTCCTAATGTTCAGTTTCTAATTTGAAAAAAGGTAGATAAAATAAAAACAAAACAGAAAGCCCAAAGAAAAACAAAGTGCCAGAGGTTCAACCTATTTTGGGGGCTTTGCAGCCTGGTTTGCTCTGTCTCACAAATTCCACCAGCACAATTGACACTGATTGGCCCCACTGGTGCTCATCTCAGCAGACAGGTGAAGGACTGAACGAGCCATGGAGACTGAAATTAGCAGCTGGTGTTCAAGGAATAAATCACATCAGGCAAACTTTTTCCTCTGTCTTTTTTTGGAGGTGGATGGATATAGAATTAAAGGATAAATAGACAAAGGACAGGCAGGAAACACACAGATACCCAAAAGAAAGACTACAAAGGACCCACTGGGTTTATGAGTACGGACAAAAATTGCACTGCAAAATCCAGCTTAGCAAGGCCAGGAAAATAGAAAGATTGAAAGAAAATTGCTGTAAATATGTTAATGAAGAGCAAATCAATCATGAATTTGCAAAATGATGTGGCTGTTGAATAAACATTCCAGATTGGAATTGTTACGTACTGTAGAGGCAATCCATCTCAAGCAGAAAAGTGACAGCATAGTTTTCACTCAGTGCTGTGTTTAGGAAAAAACGTAGGCAACATTTTGAAAAAAATCAAAATGCCTTACTTGGAACTTACCAAACAAAATGTTTTCATATCCTGGTTCTAGTTTAATTTCTGTTCAACTTCATTTTTTTTTAATTCTGAAAGAGGGACATCTATCCAAGTTGTAATATTTTGATTTAGAATAAATAAAATATTTTATTTGACACTAGTCTATTTTCCTTACCTTTTGAGAGAATGGAAAATAGTTTCTAACTGAAAATTAACTTTTATTTTACATCTCTTAAATGTCCTACTTTCTGGACCCAAAAAACTGCTGACAACATTTCCTCCAGAACATTGTAAACAATTTTGTTTACCCTTTTACTGGAGAGGTATTAGGATTGGGCTAACTTTGTAGAGGGAGGTTATAATGAATAGCAGGCTGGAGTTGTTAATTTTAAAGAATGAAATGAAAGCCTTTTTTATGCCACATTTGTCACAAGAAAACTAAATGGGGAACCTGACAATAGCCTTCAGATTGTGGAAAAGTTCAGTTCTCATCCATAGAGGCAGAACTGTACATGGTAATTGAGGAAATAAGTACAGTTAACTGGAGATGAATTATCCTAAACATCAACAAGACTTTCCTGACTGAAGTATTTGAGTCCATACAAAAGTCTTCCAAGCAGAAAGGAGGGAAATCCTTGTGTTTTGATAAATAAATGGGGGTCTATCATAGTCAGAAAATCTGTACTGGTGGGAAAATCTAATGGATCCTTTTGAAGAAACTCACAGTAATTTCCTATAAATTAAAGAACTTTTTATACCATGGGTTAAGACACTTTGTTATACACGTCACTAAACTGTAGACATCTGAGAAGAAGATAGAGAGTCACCCAGGCCTCCTCTTACTGTTATTGGAGAGAAATGCACACCTGCCCAGGCCAACTGGTGCCTTCCTGCACGTCTCTATGACAGGGGATATGAATTGCTCTTTGGAGGTGCCCATCCAGTGGCCAGTGAGTGTCTAGGTTTGTTAGGTTTGTCTAGACACACAGCTCTCAGACACTAAATTTAAGCGGGACAAATTGCATTCATTCTCAGTATGTTGTCAAGAAGGTCACGCTGCTGCTAATTGTGCTATGTTCTGATCTTCAGTCTCCAGGGCTATCCGTACCGATGTCCTTAATTACCACTGACAAGGCTCCCTCTCTTTTCCATTCCCTGTCTAAATTCAAGTTCACGTCAGTCAAGGCTGACAAGAAGAATCCAGTTTTTTATTATAGAAGTCTATGAAAAACAAGAGTGTGCTTCTGTCCCAACAACCATCACCTGTCTTAGTTGAGGAGGCAGCAGGAGCAGCCCTGACTCTTTTGGTAAAGGTTATGAAGAGCATTGTATGATGGTCCCTCTGTTTCCTCTAAAGAATCCTTTCCTTCTATACAGTTTTTACAGATTTCTGCACACGTCTTTTTGTTACTTGGCATGTTTAAATCTCTTTTTATCTAGGCGAGTTCTTTGCTACTAGTTTCTAATGTTTGTTACTAAAAACTTGCACAATCTTTTGATGCACTGATAAATGAGCAGCAGCTATGGATGGAGTTTGTTCTGAAATGTTCTGAAATCCCTTTGCACTTATAACCCTTATTGAATAAGAGAATGTTTTGTTTGTTGGTTTGTCCTGTCGGATTCCCTTCCTGCTAGCAGCACTTGTTATGTTACATCTGTAGCAAATGGGCTTTGGAAGTAGCAGCCCATCGTGGACAGACAGTTGTCATCTTCCCAAGCAGTGTGAGGCAGTTTATCAGATACACTTCTCTTCTCCTCAGGAGCATGTTGCTTTCTTGCTGTTTGTGGGTTTGAGCAAACCTTGCCTTGTGTTTCTGTACACTGTCTTGTCTTGTTCCAAGAGACCTGGAATCTGGAAAAAGAAAGAAAAAATAAACCCTAAAATGCCAATAAACTCCACTAATTGGAGATGTTTAGCCTGGTCAGGTGCAGGTAAGATGTTTCTGCCCAACTCCTTCGAAGCTGAAGAACGTTTGGGGTAGGGTCTTAGAAGGTGCTGCTCTTGGAGCCAAGCGACAATTTTCATTGTGGTTGGTTAGGGAAGATGGAGACACCTGGCACAGGTTGGTTTGACATTTGGCCATAGACATGCAAGCCTGAAATCTCTGTGAGGTTCACCAGACGTTTGCATTCACGGGAAGTATACCTGGCAGGTGCCGAGCTGCGATAGCTGTAGTTGTGATGGGAACCCTGACTGACAGGCCCCACAGTGTGTGCTTGCATCTATTTGTGCAGTTCCCCGTGCTCTGTTTTTTTCTTTGACAATTATTTTTGTTTCTTGAAAAGGAATTTCCCAGACCAAAACCTTCGTTAAGATATATGTGAGTGTGCATGGGTGGGTCTTTGTGTGTGCACTCCAGTGGTTGTACTATATGTTCTTGAATGTGTTTGGATGCCTGTGTACGGGCTACAAATCCATGGGAGAGTGTACAGAGGCGAATCTGTGTGTGGGAGAGAGACTGTATGAAAGCATACATTTTTCATACATGTTTGTGTTGTGAATGGTTGTTGATGGAGACACATGGGTTGTTGTGTATGTAACCGAGTCTATGAACATGTTTTCTGAGCCAATGTAGCCATCTTACTGTGCAACTTTGATCTGCTTATGGGGTGGGTATTTATATCTGAGAGTTTCCTGTATGCAGGCATGTTCATCTGCATGCCTGTGGGTGAGTGTACACTTGCATGTCAAGCTCAGTGGATTTTTGTTAGCATGGCTGTGCATTCAAAAACAGTGAGAAGGCATGTACTCATGAGGTAGGCCCCCAGGTTGCCTTCAGCATTTCCGAGTTCTTTAGGAATCCTCCACTTAAAACACCTCCATGGTGTGGAGATAAGTCAAATGATAAGTCCAATTGCATCACATTAGGCCTACTTGTTTACGGCAACTTGGGAACATCTCCCAGGTCCCCCCAGCCAGCTTCACAGACACATGGAGATGCATCTCACACAACTGAGAAAGTGCAAAGGGCACAGGGCAGGTTAGAATCTCATGGGTTTGAAAACTTCAGAGAGTGGCACAGTTTCTGCTAAATTCACTTTCATATTGCCTTACTTTCAAGCTGCATTTTCAGAGCATTGCTTCTCAGTAAGTGTAGTACAACTAACTTCCAAACCACAAAATGAAGATTTTTCCAAATTTTTCTGGAAATACTCAATGATTCTATTTTTGGGTCACTCTTAAGCCCCTTCTTAAGTAACTAAAGAGGGAGGGGAGAACTTTTTAATCTGCTATTAAAAAAACGTTTTCCAAGGCAGAGACCACACCTACCATGTGTCAACTCTCTTTAAGTGCTAAGACCAAGAATGACTTTTGGGAAATAAGAGGAAAGATGATGTAATATATGGGGCCTGGGAAGTGTAGGGCCTGTGGGTTGTATTCCTTTGACTTTGGCTAGATCTCTATACCTCAGTCTCCCCATCAGTAAATTGGAGATTGTTATTATTCCCTATGTTAAGAAAGCATTGTCACTAGTGTTTACAAAACACTTTAAGTTCCTTAGAAGAAATCATTAAGGTGGTAACAATTATTACTAACTGTTACAATAATAAGAAGAAAGAAAATGTTATGAGATTTGAATAAACGCCAGCAAATTTGGAATATATCATCCCACAAGTAGCCCCAGGCACAGGCTTGTATTTCCTTGCTTTCCACATCAGCAGACAGAGCCTGGAGTTGAGTGCTGTGAAGCTGACTGACAGCCTGCTGTCCCCTCCTCCAGGCAGAGAAAGTTGCTCATTATTGTTTGCTGTGCTGTATTGAAGGGGGAAATCAAGTTCCATTTCTACTGTGTGCTACGATGCCCAAAGTGATGAA